CTTATTCAGCTCTGTGTGCAGCCAGGATGTGACCTTTTAGTGCTCCCCACTGACATAATGGCTGACTTAAAAATGGGTGGAGTGTTGAAGTTAAAGGATTCTCCCATCAGCAGAAGCTGCTGAGTGCTCCCAGCAAACAGTGTACATCCACTGTGAAAACAAGGACTTGGCTGTTTGCCACAAAGTGGTTACAGCAGTAGGTCCTTTCAAAAAGTAAATCCTAATGTAGAAGTGAAAGTAGATTATTCTTTGTAGATCTTCACAAAATGGTTATTAAAGATAATCTTAGGTTTTATTTCAATATTTACACAAATTACTTTCTTGCAGGAGGAGGAAACTGTGAATAGATCACCCAGAAACAGAAAGCCAAGGAAAGATTGAAAAAAGTCATAAGAACTTGATCTGTGATTTTTTTTGTTTTGTTTCTTTTTTCTTTTGTTTTGAAACATGGTTCTGGGAGAGGACCTTGGACACCTTACATTGAAACTTGGACAAACCTCAAGATTTCACCATCCACAGGTTCCAGTCACACTATCCAATGTAATGGAGTGTCTAGCAGTAAAATATTTGCAATCATCTGTTTTAAAGAGCATCATTCCTGTAGAAAGAATGCATTTAATATAATGGGCTGTGGATTTTGGAATGTAACATAACTAACCTTTTCATTTTTGGTTTTAAATATTTTTTTCTGTTTTTAAGTAGATTGGTAGAATTTTTCCAGTCTCAAACCTTGGCTTAATTTAATATATTAATTAGTGAAATATAACAATGAATCTTGAAAGTGCTAGGTGATAATGCAGTTTTATAACTAGGTTTTTTTACAAATATGTAAATTCCTAAATGCACCGATGTCTTTATATCCCTTAAAATTTGGTAATTGTTTAAAGAAAAGTTATCAATGTCTATGACAACCCCTCTACCCTCAAAAGAAAAAACTAGGGGGGATGTATGGGGAAACAAGTAGTGAAACTGTAATTAATGAACTTCATTCTTTTGGGGGGAGGGGAAAGAGGAAGAAGGGGTGGAAGGAGGGGGTTAGACAGTCTATAGCATATGATACTGTGCATGGCTAAAGCCCTGTTAAGGGTTGACAAACGATCTGGGATTTGGAGTGGGTCATGTTAATGTGGCATTTCATCCTGCAGACCTTGCAGATAACCGATTTTGTTTGTTCTTGAGCTCTTTTTGTGAAGCTGAGGGTTTGGGGGGAGGTGTGGTTAGGCTACTTCCCCCTTTCCCCTCTGCTCAGCCACCGATTCTTTCCTCTCTACACCTCTTCCTGAGAGCAGCTCTGCCTCAGTTGCTGAAGCACTTCATGTTCAGCTCATTGTCAAGCTCGATTTCATAGCTAGGCCTACTCCTTTCCAGGGTCCAAACACTGAATAAAACAGTGTCCCATATCCTCTCACTGTTGTCACTGTATGTCTACTGTAGAAATGGGGGAGGTAGGCAGGTACACAAGTTGAACTGAGTATTTGTTAAGGAAAAAGAAAAAGAAAAAAAAACACAACCAAGATGTCAGTATTGTAGGTGGGGAAGGAGCATGTGGAATATCTTAACTGGTATGTGAAACTGTTTAAGTCCTTTATCTGCTCTTCATGTAACAAGTGCATTCTAAATTATATTGTGAATGTTAGGGAGTTCCAATTCCAGCTGAATAAATTTTTTTAAAGCGTTGAGTCTACCACATTATACTGTTTCAAACACTTTTTTTTGTGGAATGCAGGTGAGCACTACAAGAGCATTACCTCTGAAGGTGAAATGGATGTAATTCATTACACTGTACCAAATATGTTGGCGTTTGGATGTCTATATAGATAAACTTTTGCCTTTGTTTAGAGTGAAATTAAATGTCCTAAAATTACTCTTCTTGCACTGAATTTAAACACTCCAGTGTTGTTTGGTCATAGGATAGGTATAGTGTAGGGAATAATTCCCAGGGGCTGGGGAGGGAAGAGTGTTCCAATTACCTTGCAAACAGTCTAACCAATTACTAAAAGACTCTTGTTTTTGGTTTGGGTTTTTTGGTTTGTTTTTTTTTTTTTTTTGTAAAACACTTCTTGCTGCCTGTCCTTATGTTGTATCCCTTGGTTGTTGTGTTTGAAATACTAGTGATCACAAATGCATAGCAGGATTTCTTGATCTTTCTGCAGTGTGCAAATAAACTATTGTAAGCAAGATACTGGAAGTAATTTCAGACTTTGTTGGGAGCTGTTGCATGTTTAGAATGCCTTTGCCTGTTGAACACCTGGTAAATACTGCTCCTTATTGCAAATATAGCTTATACTCTGACATGGAAGATGTCATAACTTAAGCATTGCTACTGGCTTGTTCTCAGGACTGTATTTTTATCAAGGAGCAGCTGCTATTTATGACTCTCAGTCCTTTGAGATGAAGTATGTGTAAATGGTTTCAATTCAGCTAACATTTTGAGCACAACATAAAAATCTATTAATCTAATGGTTTTTTATCTTAATATGCAAATTGCCTTAAACTCCCAAACGACCCATGTGCATACATGTTCTTTCAAAGCATCAAAAGTGAACTTGAGATCTGCTATCAGCTTTTAAATAGTATTATATTAAATCTAATTGTAAATCTACATTTGCTTCTGCTAAATCTCCTGAAAAAGTCTCCTGTCTGCATGTTATGGCTTTTTTTGATACCTTAGTGTATGCTTTAAATAATCACTACAATAAATGAAGACTTTCCAAAATGGATAGACAACTCAAGTTACTTTTTATCTTGCTTTCTGGCTTGGGTGCCTCAGTTTGACCTCAGGATTGCTCTTATTTTTAAAGTCTTGGAGGAAAAATTAGTTATCTGCTTATCCTGAGTGCTTTTAAAGCATAACTGTGTGTTCTAAAGTAGTGAAGCTCCACCTTAAACTGGGTTTGGAAGTGTTACAAAGACTTGAAGGTGTATTTGGGCTTTTTGTGTCTGTGCACCCAAGGGTGGCAGCTCTTGAAAAGGATGCTGAACTTAATGTGCTGTGTCTGAGGATGAGGGGGGGGTGTTAGACAGAGGTGGAAAATAAAACCAAAACCCATGGGCTCTGAAGAACACGAGGCAGCAGAAGGGCTGGGAACAGTTTTTCTCCTGGAGCTGATGCTTGGTCAGGGAGTTGATATTAAGGATGCAGCTTAATATCTAACCAACTAACCCTTCCCAAAGCGTGTCTGGATGTGATCTGACCTTGCTGGGGCTGGTGAATAGTGAATTGTCACAGCTTGAGGCTGTGACCTCTCAAGTGCATTTTGAAGGTCTGTTTATAAGATTGACTCCAGGGCCCGAGGAGGGCTTCTTGCTAGTGCTGACTGCTTGTAGTTGTATGTTTCCGTGGTTGTCTCTCCTTCCTTACTCCTTCCTCACAAGCTCAACTCCTCCTGTGAGGCTGTGGGTATATCCCTGGGTCTGGTGCCCACTCTCCGCATCCCAAACCGGTGGTAAATGCCACTTCTTGCCTTGTGGTTTCAAAAAGGGTTTTTTTTGGTTTACTTTTTTTTTTTTAGTGTTGCTGAACAAGGACTGTGATTTCATGTCCCTTTCAAACAGGTACTTGTAGATGGCGACTTGAAAAAAAAAATGTAAAAACTAATCAATAAAGAAACTGAAATCCGTTTGGCTTTCTTTGTGTAATTAGCAAAGGTGCATCGGGTGACGGTGAGGTGAACGGTGACTCTGCTCCTCCTGCGCCGGGCAAGCTCGCAGTTTGACCCGAAAGCGGAGGTTCTGCAGTGCAGAACCCTGTTTGGAGAAGGCTTATCCCGGGACACCGGGACCCTGAACTCGCCGGGACGGGACGGGGCGGGCTCCGCTCCACGCCGCTCTCTCTGTCAATCACCGCTGGCTCCGCCTCACGCCGCCCCTGATTGGCTGCGCCGCGGCCGCCCCGCCCCTTCCCTGCCTGTGCCTTTTAAAGGCGCCGGGCCCCGCCCCCGATCACCCCCACCACCTCCTTCGCGCCCCCGCGCCTTTCTACTGGCTGGCGGGGCTGTCAATCACGGCTCGTGACGCGCCGCGCGCCGTGACGTGCCCCCCACCCAGGAAGCTCCGCCCCCTTATTCTCAACTCGGCTCTGGAGGGGAAAAACAGTTCCAAGATGGCGGCGGCGCGGACAACAATGGGGGGCCGGGGGGCTGGGCCGGCCCGCGCCTCCTGAGCGCCGCGGCCGAGGCAGCGCGGCGGCCCCGCGGGGCGCGCAGGGCTGAGCGAGAGCGGCGCAGCGCAGCGGCGCCGGGCGCGGCGGAGAAGGAGGAAGTGGGGCGGAGGGGAGCGGAGCGGGCGCCGGGCCGGGGCGGCGGGGGGAGGAGGAGCCGGGGCGATCCCGGCGGGGAGCGCAGGTAAGGCCGGCGGGAGGGGCGGCGGCGGCCCCGCCATGGCGGGCGCCGGTGCGAGCAGCCGGTGAGCAGCAGCAGCAGCCGCGGCGGCGGCCGCCCCCTCGCCGTCCGGCCCATGGTGCTGCCCCCCTGCCCCATGGCGGAGTTCGTGGTGCCGCGGCACAGCGCGGTCATGGAGCGGCTCCGCCGGCGCATCGAGCTCTGCCGGCGGCACCACAGCGCCTGCGAGTCCCGCTACCAGGCCGTGTCCCCGGAGCGCCTGGAGCTGGAGCGCCAGCAAACCTTCGCCCTGCACCAGCGCTGCCTGCAGGCCAAGGCCAAGCGGGCCGGCAAGCACCGCCAGCCGCCCCCGGCGCCGCCGCCGCCCGCGCCCCCTCCGCCCGCCGCGGCCGCCGCGGGCAGCGCCGAGAGGAGCGGAGCCAACGGGCTGGACGGAGAGGCCGCCGGCGCCGAGCAGCACGGCCGCAGCAGCGCCCTGATCGCGGTAAGGCCCGCGGGGCTGCGGCTGGGGACGGGGAGGGACCGGCGGCGGTGCCCGGCTGGCACCGGGAGCGCTCCTCGGGAGCTGGATGGAGGAAGAAAAACGAGCTGTGGTGGCCCGCGGTGGGAGGGCTGGGGTTGGTGCTGCTTTGCTGTACTCTGCTGTGTTACAACTTCGCAGCTGATAAGGGGTGTTTTGTTTTCGCTCGTCACCTTTGCACGCTGGAAGAGCGCATAAAAGCTGCTGCCTGATGGGGTAGGGGTAGTGGCAGCCTTTGATTGTTACAGTCATTCAGAGTAGTTATGTTTCTAGCTAATTCACCTAAAATGTCCCTGCAGAAATTGTCAGAGGGGCATTAATACTGCTTTGGATTTTTTGTTTGCCTGCTTATGTCTTTAATCTGTCAGGGTTTAGTGGAATTGTTTGATCAGAACATGATTGTTACTCAGAGGGAAGTTTTAGACAAATAATGTGTCTGTTAATTCTGGTACAGATTGGAAAGAATTTCAGCGGAAAGGCAGCTGCTTGTTTGCCACTCACTCTAGTGGGTGTGAACACTATGGGAATCCCACTCCACCCATTAAAAACTGGCTTAGCTCAAAATCTTAATGTTTCTCTGGCTTCTCTAGCATTTCTGGTTGTCAGGACATATTCACACAGGCCTGTTTGTATATCAAGATAGCTATTGCTTAACTTATTCTGGGCCCTTTAAATATACTGCTGTGTGCTAATGTGTCAGTAATGTAGGTTAGTAGGATAACCTCTTAAAGGCTGCCTGTCTTAATACCTGTCTGCCTTAAAACCAGGCATTTTTAAGTGGTGGCCTGCATGAAAATGATTGAGTACCATCTTAGTGTCTTTAAAAGAGAATACTGTATTAATCTGAGACATTTCCAGGTTAATATATAGAATAAACCATGTTTTTAGGGTGGTCTGTGTGTTTAATTGGATTAGAAGAGAAGGAGAATGTAATTCTCTACTGTCTTGGACTTCATTTACAGTTTTTAAAATAGTATCATGATAGAGTTTACTGTATACTTGTGTATCCTGGACATGATGTGAAATATTGAAACATGGGGTGTATCGATGTCATATTTAATGTAACCAGCACTGGGCAGCACCAGTGCAGTTTGCAGTATTTACAGGATGAGCTGAAAGTGTTACTTAGCTGAATTGTTTCTGTTCTGCCTGATACACCTCTGAGACTCTAGGACTTGCTGACTTTTTAGAAGAGTGAGGTCCTTGAGGCACAGTTAGAGCACTTCAGGGGGCTGTTACAGAAGGGTGCTTGAGGCAGAGAGGAAACCCTGTGCATTCCTGACACTGATTCTGTAAAACTTTACAGTTAGCCGTTGTTTAAGAGACTGATCTTGAACATAAACTCGTGTCAGAACAAAAATGACTCAAACTGGTATTTTATTATCTAAAGACTTGGCAGTTCTGTTTATTTCCTGCTGGGCTCTAAGGCTTTTTGCATATGGGGCTTTATCCATTAATAATGTGTATTTTTGTTACACACAGAGCTCTTTAGCATGTCAAATCCTGTCGTTTAAACTGCCACCACACGTCTTCATATTGACCTTCTAAAGAAAGATGTCACTAATTCATTGGTGTTGTTTCTCTTAAATCGCTGTGGATGTGGATTTGATCTAATTAGCATCCATTATAATGAGGGCTCTCAACAGCAGCAGGTTCTGAAGTGCACTGCACATCTGGGGAAGCCCTTGTACAGGAAGCTGCTGCCAGTGGCCAATTTACACAACAGAAGAGGGTTTTAGTGTATGAATGACTCTTCCTCGGGCTGGCCTGCTGTTTCCTTCCCAGGATCCATGACTGAAAGCTTAATTGCAGCTGTTGATTCATCACCTCGTTACTGGGGTATAAAGTTGGTTTGCTTAGTAATTCAAGTCTTGGGAAAAAAGCACAACAACAACAACAAACTTCTGCTACTAGTTTAATTGCTTTGGCCCAAGAGGTGCCTCTCTAGGTTAGTATTTTACCTCTAGCCATCATGTTGCAGTTATCAAGAAAAAGCATGTGCTTTGAATGGGAAGAACATTGGTTTGGTTTACAGTGTTCCACAAAGTTTGGATGAACACTAAAATTACCTTTTTTTAAAACACCCTGGACACATTCCTTTCCAAAGAATGCTGCTAGATCAGTAAAACATGCATTATATCAGCTATTGCTGCTGTAAAGATCCAGAGTTTTCTATGAAGCTGCATATGAATCTTCTCTTGGAAATTTTGACTCTGTGTTGAAAGTTAATGAATCCTTTATTTTGGTCCTTGAATGAGAGAGCAGTCCATGTGGAGGTGAAGGGTTTGTGATGTAGCGTCAGAGGGCTTGTAGCAGTAGGATGTGGAGCTGCACTGCCACGAGTGTGAGCAGTGTGGCACTCCCAGAGCACCTGCAGAGCACCTTCTGTAAATCCAGGACAGTCACAGGGAACAGGGTGACACCAACACATCCTCCTTAGTGTCTTGTGTGATTTGTCAAGTAACAAAATCAGATATTTTCTCTTCCATTAGTCTTTTCTCTGGTTTAATTCCTGAAGTTGGATGGATCTTGCTTACAAGCAAAAGTAAGGGGTAGATTCTTCCTTGTTTTCTTACTTAGCAGTTCTAAAAGTTGAGCTACAGCAACTGAGAGAATACAGTATTGATACAGAAATACCTTGGATTATTTGTGCACCACGTAGGCCTGTCCTTCATTTGAGGAAATGTTGAAAAACTAATTATCTTCCTACTTTTTAAAAACATCTGCTTTACATTTCTATTGTTTAAGATGGCATTAAAGCTCTGTTCAAAGTAGGTACTTGTTTGGATAATGTTTGTTGTGTTAATCTTACATTTTTGAGAAACAGGGAAGTTGGGAAGAGATGGGGCTTGTCTCCTAGAACACTTTTTTTCTCTTTGCCAGGTTCTGATACATGAAAGTTCATTCTACTAATGCTGTTTAAATTCTCTGGAGGAGAAGGGTTGGCTTCCTCGTATTTCTGTAAGAAACTATAAGGCAGTTTATGGGTGAGCTGAGCAGAAGGCACTTCACTGACATGTGAATGGGGAGGATGGCAAGATCTGTATTTTCATCTCCACTCCTTGTTTTATGATGTGGTGTCTTGGAAGGAGAGCTGCTCCCTATTTCTTACTAGTTTTTTTCCCCACCTGAGAGCAGTTGTTGTGCAGAGAGCTTGCTTTGTCTAGAGCTGCCACAAAACCACAAACAGTATTTCTGGAATGAGCAGGAAAGGTCTAGTCAGTGGCCTGTCTTGGGAGTGCTCTGTGTTAAAGCTGAAGAGCAGACCAGCATTTATTTGGGAGCAATAGAAGTTTTTACATTAATAATAGATAAGTTCTAAATTAAGCAAGGGCACCAAGTAAAAAGTTTAAAAGAAAATTTAAGGCTTAGAAGAACAACGCAGTGTTTCTTGGTTGAAAGACCTGAAGTAATGAATTAAAGGGAATAGATTGCCTGGAGTGTTCTGACAAGCATTAATGGCACTCCTCTAACGAAGATCAGGCTTCAACCAACAGTTCAGAAGATCTCATTTTTGTGTAAGCAGTGGCATAGGGGTGTTAAATTGTGAAGTTACATTTTACCGCAAAAATAGCAAATTATTTACATGTTATTTATACATAACTATAGTGCAGTGTAGTCTTGCCACCGCTGTTTGTTTTTGCTGACAAGTCTGATGGTTTGTTGCCCAACAACTCAGACAGGTTTTTCTTTGTCTCCTTTTAATTCTCTGTGAGGTATTGTTGTATGTTTGAAACATTTCCCTCACTAGATTCGTTAGATATGCAGTGTTGCTTCCTAAGTTGTAAGGATCTGGGAGTGACTGATCTGCTGCTGTTTAAGTTCAAGTGAGGTGGAGGATCCAGCACTGCAGCTGAAGGCACAGCAGTTTTTTTGATTCAGCAGAACAATTCCTGTAGCAGAAGCTGCCCCTTGTGACTAATGCAGGCTTGGGATATTTATAGATGTGCCTATCCACAGCCCTTCTTCACTCCAGCAGGCAGTCACCCAAATACAAAAGTCTTCTGGAATTAAAGTAAAAAATTAAAATGAGTCCAGCAGTTTGGGTCTGACAGCACAGTGGAATGCAGGAACACGTTGGGTAATAAAATGCTTTCCTTGCAAGGGGGAATGCAGCTTTGGAATCTGTGGGTAGATGCACAGTAAATGAGGAGTTCTTACTATGTTGTGTAGTCAAAATGTTATGTTTTCTATCCGAAATTCATACACTACAATTTCTGGTATTTGCATTGTTGTTCCAGTCTAAATGGTTGTCATCTTTGCATCTTTGTTGCTCCTGTCCTTGGCCAGGCAGGAGAGGAGAATCAGTGTTTGTAGAGGACCTACAAAAGTCTGGTTTGTGGGAGTTTGTATGTGCTGTACTACTGCCACTTTCATGGCAGAAAAATGCAGGTATTCTATTTTTGTTTCCCCTTCTAGGTGAGAATGCTGGTATCTAGCTAGGAGGCATCTTGGAGCTGGTTTATTATTATATTTTTAGGGTAATAAGGCATTTCTTCTTTGAAAATGCCATTATATTTCTCTTGCTGATATTTAATGATAAATCCTTGTAGACTTAGTTCTAAAACTGAGATGGTAAACTAATTCCGAAGAAAATACAGAAAATTAAAGCTCTACCGAGTCCTGTAAGAATATTTTAATCTCTGTAACAGATGCTTCAAAAAACAAAATAAGAACATTATACAGAGCCTAAAAGGCACAGTATGAGAACCAGGTTTTTTAAAACTTTCATTTCTGCCATGTTCACTAGGTGTGAGGTTTTTTGTTGTTTTGGGCTTTTTGTTTTTTGTTTCTTTGTTTTTGTTTAGAAGAAATGGAACTTGTATGCAGTTTCTAGTTTGTATATATAAATACTGTCTTCAGAGTACCGGACTCAAAGTATAGTAAATTAGTGGATTTTTGCAAAAGAACTTCGGTTGACTGTCTTTAGGTATTAAGTCCACATCAAAATAGCCAACACTAAACAAAAAACCTGAACAAAACAAACAACAAAGCCAACCAGAGCAACTTTGTGCCACTGTTTTGATCAGTGATTCATGCCCCTTCCCACCAAGACAGTAAGAGAGCACTGCCCTGGACTCTGAAGTTTTGCACTCTGCCAGTCCTAACAGAAAAGCTGTAGATGAAGTTTTAAAGCTTTTCCAGTTTCTTGCTGGGCTTCAGTAGTAGTTCTGGACAGCTTTTATAAAGTCATTCAACTGCCCCTGCAGTAAGACCACAGTAGGACTGAGCATCATTGTTGTAAAACCAGAGGGTTTAAGACAGAGGTTGGACATATCAAAATTCTTTGTGTGCTGTCTGTTTTTGGATGGAAGCCTTGTCACCTGCATGGACACACATCCACCTCTGGCATTGTGAGCCTGTGTCCTGGTCAAGTGCAGTGTGTGGGTTACATGGTCAGAGGCTGCTGTGTTGGACACCTTGTTGCCATGGATGGCACCTGGGTTCTGTCAGCTTGTGTTCTGTGCATGAGGAATCCACAGTGAGGCACGTGTGCTCCTGCCAGCTCAGTGTGTTTATGACCACGTTGAGCACTGTCTGCTTTGCTCACACGAATAAAATGCAGCTCAGGTGATGTGACGTGGAGGAGGAGCAGCCTGTGGGGCCCCTCAGTGGCTCTTGGTCAAACTCTGTGTCCTGCCCTGGGCCGAAGGACTGAGACCTGTTCACATCCTTTGCTTTTCACTGTTCCTGTGTTGGTGTAAATGCTTCAGATAAATGCTTTTGGGGTAACACTTTCAGGCAAAACTAGATAGCAATGATCTTGGAAGTTCGTCTTTAGTTGGGAAATTGAGTAGGCTGAGAAAATAGGAATACATTTCTGTATCCAGTCTTATGACAATGGAAATGATTGACTTGGTATTATAAATAAAGTTGATTGATTGTGCTAAGGAAACCATGGACAGTGTACTAGAGGACCACCGTGTCTTACAGGATGGTGATGGGCAAGAAAATGAAATCTGAAGGGATTTTCTTAGTGAGTAGCAAGCTATGCCTTACTCTGTCAGTGTGTTGGGTTTTTTGAGTTTTGGCAGAATAGAACAGGTTTTTCTTGCCTTGAGAACTCTGTTGGAGCAGCTTGATATGTAGATAGCTTGCAGTCTGGCTTGTATCTCACATGCACCTTGTTATTTCCCCCCTGTCCAAACCAGATTATTTGGATAGACACAGACAAACTGGAGAAGAACTTTATCTCCTTTTTTTTGTTGAAGTAATATATAGTCTTAGGTGAAAGGAGGATTTTGTCTCGAGCAACTAAAGTCACAATGTCTCCAGGAATCAGATATGTAAGTGTTATGACTGTTAAAACCCACAGAGATATAAAAGCTCCTACATGTTTTTAGTGACAGAAACAGCCTGTGGTGGGTATTAGGGGTCTGTATCTTTTTCTAGACTGCAGTGAGTGTACCTTACAAACATGGGTGGTTTAATGTTAGACTGGTTAGCTGCATATATTGCAAATGATGTAGTACAGCAGCAAAGACCTTAGTACAGATTCAAGTCCTAGTTGCTTTGAGTTATCTATATGAATTGTATTTACAGCAGTGACCCAAATTGACATCTATTCTGTTTTAATACAGGAAATGTCAGAATATGTCCATTGTACAAAACAAAGTTATTGTTTTTATATAAGTTTTCAGAGAGTATTTTTTCCCCCTAATGTTTAGAATTAAGGAGGATCCATTCCCAAACTTTGAGTAATTTGATTCATCATATGACCTTGGGCAAATTATTCATCCACCTTGAGCTTCAGTTTTCCTGGTGGGGGTATTAAGTAAACAATGGGAAACTTGCTGAAAGCTGTATTTATGATTGAGTTGAAGCTTACTTGCTCTCTGTTGTTTTGCCTTTTTACAAAAAAGTAAATTTCCATTATTCTTTCAAGTTGGAATTTGAAACATTCACTCAAGAGCTGCTACTCCAAGCTGGAGACCTGATGTTCAAAGTAAGAGATTTCAAGTTCCAGCCTCCTCTCTAAATGTACATCTCACCTCACCTCATCCTACTCGGTCTTCTGCTGATCTTGCTACTGTGCTGCTATTTCCATGAGCAGTCTAGAAGATCACAGTCTCCAGGGAAGCTGCAGCCTGTCCCACAGATAAAAATAAGACTTTGCTGCTACCTATGCAAGCATTAAACAATAATGGGTTTATTTGCTGTTACCTATGCAAGCATTAAACAGATGGTGTTCTTTGGGTTTTTTTTCCCCAAAGATCAGCTAACTGTAGACTGTTTAAAAAAATAGCAGCAATTAACTGTGAACCAGTCCTTCTGTCCTTAAATCAAAGAATGCTGTTGCCCAGGCAAGTGTATAAAATTCTTCTGATAATTTATGCTGGCCCTACATACAACCTCTTGCTTGAGTGCTGAGACCTTGAGGTTTCCCCTGTTTTTTCTTGGATGAGACAGTTTTCCCCAGGGCTTAGTGGACTGCCTTGTGAAGACTGCAGGCAATATTCAAAGAACCATCCTTGTCTTGAGGTTTGTTTAAACGAGCTGCTTTTCTGCCATCTAAGAGCGCTGTTGTTCAGTGGCCCACGCCTCAGACGGGTGGCTCTTGGTGGGGATTCCTCTCGTGTGTCCTGCTGAGATTGTACCAAGGGTTGGGAGCTGATGGGGTTTTTCCCTCTTTAAACACTGTGCTGTTGGAGCAGCGTCTCTGCCCTACAGATTTGTCTGCGTTGGTGTAGAGCTCCAGGACCAGCAAAGCACAACTTTTTTAGCAGAATGCACTCGAGGGAAGGAAAAGTTTACAGTTACCTTTGATGTGTGCATGAATTGTGTTTTCAGATGCTTTTGAGGTCAATAGAAAGAACTTTCTCTTTGGAAGAACGCTGGCAGGAAAAGAGGAGTTGAACAAAGGCACTCAGGCTCTGGCTGTAAAACTGTTGCTGTAGCCACTGGTCGCTTCTAGGTGGCACCACGAGAAAAAGAATCTGCATTCACCAGCTGTGAAAAACCAACTGTTGAGCTGGTTGGGGCTCTGGTGGTCGGAGTGCAGAGAGGAACAGCTGGCAAATACTTCAGGAGAAAAGAGGAAAGGAATAAACATACTCTGCCGGGATAGAACTGGCTGAACTCCGGGTTGCGTATTCCACAAGTGTGAAGCAATGGTCGCTAAGTGACAAATTGGGTTTGCTTTTGTGCCAGAAGTGTGATTGTGTACAAAATTTATATACATAGTTCTTCTCTAAAAGTTATAATCACAAGAGAATCACTCTTTTTGTCTAAATATTTAAATGTGAGATTGCTTTATAAAACAGTCTCACGGAGCAATTATACTGTGTGTACATGGGTCAAATAAAATACAGGCTTTTATTCTTATTTAAAATTTGATTTTGAACATTCTTCAATATTTTTCTCATTTTGAATAGGAAAAATCGTAACATATTCCAGTTCACAACCATTTTTCAACTCTTTTTTTCTTCTTGGAGTATATGACAGCTTTTAGTTTTGTCTGAAGGAGGGGGTCTAGGTTTGAAGTAGTGCATGTTTTTTGAAAGTTTTCCCAAAGAGATTATAGTGAGGAAGTCATCTCATGTGCTGACTTGGAAAACAAAATGTTATCAAAGCAAAATTGTAAACTTTTTTTTTTCTTTTTCTGAAATGTCTTATTGAGAGCTAGACAATGTCCTGGTGAGAAATAAAAATCCAAATCTGTGAAACATTGAACGACAATTAAAATATTCCTTTTTTTTTTTCAGCAGCTCCATGAGACTGTGAAAAGAAAGCTTGACAGTGCTGCTTCCCCTCAGAACGGAGACCAGCAGAATGGCTATGGAGACGTATTTTCTGTGTCCAAGAAGCTGCGTCGCGATGACGGTCTTGGAGTGAGTGGTTCTTCCAATGGAATGCCCCCTGTGTCTCCACTCCATCATCTTGACAAGAAATCTGGCAACGGAGATACCTTACAACTTAACGGGAAACATCCCATGGGGCTGGATGGCATCAGCAAGAAGTGTCTTCCAGATTCCAGCCTGCAGATGAATGGAGGTGGTGATGCTGACGATTCATTTCCTCTGAGTTTGAACAAAGAGTTGAAACAGGAACCCGTAGACGATCTTCCCTGTATGATTGCTGGAGCAGGGGGTTCTATGTCTCAGAATAACTTGATGCCTGATCTAAATCTAAATGAGCAAGAATGGAAGGAACTTATCGAGGAGCTTAATAGATCAGTGCCTGATGAAGACATGAAGGATCTCTTTAATGATGACTTCGAAGACAAAAAAGATGCAGATTCTTCAAATTCAGCTGCACAGACTCCATTGGCACAAGATATTAACATAAAGACTGAGTTTTCCCCAGCACCCTTTGAACAAGAGCAGCTGGGATCTCCCCAGGTTAGATCCACTTCTTCAGGTTCAGCCTTTATTGGTGCTGCTTCTGTACCTGTAAGTGCCGCTTCTCCAGCGGTCGGTAGTTCTCAGGCTATGTTCCAGCCTTCCACTCGGTCAATGACTGAAAATCCTAATCAGCCCATGATGCAGGCATCAAACCACTCTCAGAACGTCCAGAGGCCTCTCCCCAATGTGTTGTTACCTGGGAAGGGTCCAGGAAGTGCCAAAGAAATGTCTTCTGCTCATCAACTTCAGCAGATTGCTGCCAAGCAGAAAAGAGATCAGATGTTGCAGAACCAGCAACAAGCTTCACAAGTCCACCAAACGAATCAGATGTCTACGTGGCCACAGTCTGGGCCTTCCCATAGTCCTCTGGCTGTCCCATATACCATGGAAAATCCCACTAGCCCATCAGTTTATCAACCAGACTTCAACAATCAGAAACTCATGATGCCTAATTTGGGAAATAAAAGCTCGCCGAGAGCTGGAGGCAATTACCATGTGAACATCTTGGGTCATCAGCAAAACAGCTTGAACCAGAACCCTGTGAATAGTCAGGGCTCTATGCTGGACTATGGGAACACCAAACCTCTTTCCCATTACAAAGCAGAGTGTGAGCAGGGGGTTGCAGTCCCTGGGCAGAACAAGACCCCCATGCTGGCCTACATCCAGCAGCGCCAGCAGGCACCGCTGTCCCACGTGAGCGACGACCAAAATGGGATGATCCTGTTGAAACCCAAGCCTGGAAACATTGCCTACCGACTGCCACACAGTCAGGTGAATGTCCTGGGGTTTGTTACCTTTGTTCAGTAGCAGATTTAGGGTCATTAGATAGGTAAGGTACAAACTACTTGATATGGTTTCAGATGTTTTCATTGATTTTAAAGAGGAAAACCATAATACACGATAAGCTGAGACAAGAATCATGAAGTCTGTTTTCCATGGGGGGCAGTTTTTAATGCTGGGTTCTGGGTCATGTGGTAACGTGTGATTTCCAGCTTAATATGCTTTGTGGGCAACAAATTATGTTGTGCTTCACAGAAGCTTCTACTTACAAAGATAAATAGATGCTTTGTAAACTTTTGACTAAAATAACTCATATAAAACTGTAGTGTTGAACAGTGTTCTCAAAGAAGCTTTGATTTCCTTACCTTGTTTTCAGTCCCTACTTGTGTCAGAGTTGGCTTGCTATAAAAAGACCTGCTTTTGAAGAGAGGTGGAAGTGGGGGCTGCGTTCCTGATTTCTTGGGTGTTCCTTGGGGCTTTTCAGTTCCAAGAATTTGTTATTGGTTAAGTCTCTGGGGATTGGGGAAGCATGGGATAGGAGAGAAATATATAATTAAGAATGAATAATAGTAATATTTGTCTGCTTGAAGCATATGCTTCAGGTTTTCCTGTAAATGAAAATTCCAGATGGTGCTTCTTTGCTGTGTATATAACTGATACTACAGGTATGCTGCAGGTGAAAATTTATGTAGTGGGTGGAAGTATAAATTCATTGGGATTCTGTAACGTGTTCCTGCAATGCACACACAAGGGGGCTTGTTGAGGAAAAAGATCTTTGTTACAAGGATTAAAGCTCCTCCAGCAAAAGCTGTTGGAGATGCAACTCTAGTCATATGTTCTCTCAGCAAAACAAAAAAAACTGTGAAAAAGATCTGATTAGTCTGTGATAAAGACCTCACTGATGTACAAATAAAAATTTGACATCAGTGTGTAGTTCATAAAGTACAAAAAAATCTCTTTAAAAGCTGGCAGAAGTAACAGTCTTACAACATTTTGATGGAAGAAGAAGGAGGGTGGAGACGATTGTGTGTCACATCTCCCCCTCACTGGAAAACATGAGAGTGACCTTGCATCTACACTGTCACACTTGCACCAAATTAACAGAAATACTGATGAAAGCTTCTGGAGAATTTCTCAAAAGCTTGCACATAGAACAACTTAGCACAGCATTACTTATATTTGGCTCATGATTTCTTATGAAACTGCAGAGTGAGAACCAACAGCCAAACCCATCAACTGAATTCTGAACTTGAACGTGGTATTTATTTGTGTAATTAGAGGTGAGGCTGAACTGTGCTTAAAAACAATGAAAACTGTCAGATTTCAAATGGATTTTTTGGTACAAAGAGGATAGTACCAGATCTTGAATGATAATCATTCCATGTTATTTTTGGTTCTCCCAAGTTCCAGCCTCAAAAAAAAAAATAGCAGACTTAATGAAAAATTAATAATATCAGACCTGTCTCTAGTAGTATTTTTGTCTGTGAAATATAGTGATGGTTTGATTGCTGGAAAAATATGTTAAGACCCATTTTGATGAGTGAAAGCCTTCTCCCCTTCACCTGAAAATAGTAAATGCTCTGATACTAAAAACCAGCAACTTTAGGAGGGGCAACAAACACTTGTTGAGTTAAATGTTGACAGAAGAGGCAGGATTTAAATAAATGCTTTATATAATGAAAGTTTAAAATTTAGTGTTTGAAAAGCTGCTGCTAAAGTAAACTGAAGCTGGCGTTTTTGAAATACCTGGCTGAGCAGAAGCACACAGAGCTACACTCGCCTGTCTGAGCTGGAATTTGGGAAGGACTTTGAGACAGAAGTTAAAGCCTCTATTCCTAGATGTTATGGAGCTTCAGACTGTAGCTCTGAACTCTCAGTTCTGTGTCTGGCACTGTATAGATGGGTGTTTGGCTGTCTTTAATTAGCAGAACTTCCATAACAAGCTTCACAAGTGGATTGCATTTCTGTAACTCTACCACTTTTCCTATATTCTGCAGGATCAAAACCCTTCTCCTAACGTTCCTCGCGTTCCCGTCTCTGTCCCGGGCCCTGGTGTGGGTGCCCAGGCTCCAAATGTCTCCATGGCAGGTAACCACAGCAACTCAGCTTATCTCAGCAATCAGCAGCAAGCAGCAGTGATGAAGCAACACCAAATGCTGATGGACCAGCAGAAGCAGAGAGAGCAGCAACAAAAGCACCTGCTCATGGAGCAACAGAAGCAACAATTCCTCATGGAACAGAGGCAGCAGCATCTGCTGGCAGAACAGGTGAGAGGGGCCAGCAGTCTGGTTTTTCAATTTGTACTAATTTGCTTTGGTGCATGAAGGAGCATTTGATGTTTTAGAATCAGAGAATGGTTTGGGTTGGAAGGGACCTTGAAGATCATCCAGTTCCAAAGCCCCTGCCATGGGCAGGGACACCTTCCATAGACCAGGTTGCTCCAAGCCCCATTCAACCTGGCCTTGAAACACTTCCAGGGATGGGGCAGTCCCAGCTTCTCTGGGCAACCTGTGCCAGGACTTCACCACTCTTACAGTAAATCATTTCTTCCTAATATCTAACCTAAATTTAACCTCCTTCAGCTTAAGGCCATTCCCCCTTGTCCTGTCACTACATGCCCTTGTGAAAAGTCCCTCTCCAGCCTTCTTGTGAGCCCCCTTTAGGTACTGGAACGTGCTCTAAGTTCTCCCTCCATCAACTGTCCATCAAAAGCTTTAAGAAAGAAGAAAGTGCTACAGTCTTCTCTGAACTGAAAATATGTGAAAGCCCATTTTGTGGGGAAGATTGCAGTAGAATCTGCAGGATTGTGGAGCTGTGGCTGTGCCAAATCCTGCCAATGGCTTTTTTATCACCTGGAAATATCCATTAAAATAGAGGACTCAGTTGAGGTGACAGAAAAACCCCTTCAGTTCTGGAGCCAGTGTAGATAAAACATAGTAATGTGGTTGACAGTGTTTTATAGATAATTGAGTGTATGAGTGAGTATGAGTGTTGGGAAAGGTATGTTTTTGAGATCTGGGTTAAAACAATATGAACTAAGGGAATACTGTGGTGGCATTACATTATCAAAGACCGAAAGACAGAGAATGCCCCAATCATCAATATAATAGTATTTTCTGTACAAGTGCTGTGATCTTTGAACTTAGAATACTTTTTGGTAGATCCTTCAGTCTTTGCTGACTTCTGTGTTAGTATCAAATGTCAAAGATGACTAATCATTACTCTCCAAAATGTTAACAAATGAGTATTCTTTGAGAGTAGGTAGGGAGAAAGGAAATATGGGGTGTGACCTCCTGCTTGTGCTTTTGCATCACTGGTGGATGGTGAAGAGCTCTGTTAGAACTCTTAGAGCTGTGGCCCAGTAGTTTCCCTCAGCTCGGTAATAAACCTAACAGGTGTCAGACCTCTCTGAGCAGTGGGGTGGTGTAGTAACAGGGTGGTCAAGCACATCTCAAGCACAGTGATGAAATAGTTTTTTCCCTAACTTTTTGCCTCTGTTTGGCCAGCACATGCTGCTGCAGTAAATATCAGTATTATAAAAATACTTCATTCATGCCCTAGTTATGGTAGCTACAACTAACTTCTGTAACTTCCATTTTTGTATAGTGATGCTGGGACTTTGGTGCCAAATAAGGAGCAGTTTTGCTTCGGAGCATTAGATACTGCATTTGCCACGTTTATTGGCATTGTGCTGCCCAGTCAAACTAGATCTTATTAGCATTCTAATTTGATATTTCTTTCTTTGGATACACACGATACTGGATGTAATTTTACAGAAAGATTTCTGAATTTGTTGATCTCTCTTTTACAGGAGAGTTGTAGTTTCAGGTAGCTTCAGTGCCATTCCCTGCCACTCTAAAGCTATCTTTGCCTTTAGTATTCTACATTTTTTTTTTCCCAAGCCAGCTTCTACAGTTCTTGGTTTCTCTCAGAGCTATGGCATCTCTTGTTGGCTTCTGTGGTCAGCCTCTTTCAGGTCTGACTGGTCCTGCAAGCAGCAGGTCCTCTCTGTCAGGCAGCCTGCCCTCTTCATTCCTCTGCATGTCTCAACAGCTTCAGAGCTGTAGACGTTTCGGGAGGGTGGTAGCGATGTGTATCTTGCCCTTTGTTACATCGCACCAATCTCTTCTCTAAAGGCTTTGTGCTTGTATCCTTTACCCCGGTACTCTTGGAAGGGAATTCCTGCCCCCTTCTGTGCTCTGTGTAACATTTTGGATAAGTAGATGGTTGTGCATTGTATGACTACTTGATTACCTCAGAATTTCAGTCTGGCTGAGGATGCCTGCAGAAGAAGAGCCAGAAATACTGTGCCTGGTACCTTTTATATTGTAACAGTAGCTGGTTGTCTGTAACCCTGTCATTATCTGAGAGTACTATTAGTGCATCCACATTCCCCTGAGACTTTAAATTTTGTTTTTCCCAAAAGTTCTTAATAGAAAATTTGCTTGGTTTATTTTTCAAATGTTTTTATTATAAAATACGTACGGATTGAATGTGCTTTTAAAGAGGCACAGTTATTTTGTGACATGAGTTGGCTTTGTTTCAGTTGGTTGGTGCATTGTTAAGAAAGTGGTTGTAAACAATGATTACAAAACTTGTATGACTTCTGTTATGGACTTAGTTCTGCAGTTTTCCATAATCTTCTAGGAAAACCTGTGGTGTATCAGAATTTGGGTTTGTGTATATTTTTTCATGTTTACAAGCAAGGACTAGAAAATATTTACGTGTTCACTCTTTTCTGTGTTACACTGTTGATATTTCTGACTTGCACTTTTATTGATTTCTAAAGGGAGGTCTAAAATAAATTGATTTGGGGATGAAAAGCAAAAAAACATGTGTGGTTTTTTTTTTTATACACACTGGCTTTTGCTCTTTTTATGTGTGTACCTGTTTTTGTCCTTTAGAATATTTCTAAAAATTACTGATGAAAAGACTAACATCTCAGATTTTCAATGTTCAGACATTGGGCTTCAGACATACACTGCAATAACTCCTGTAGTGCATGTTGCTGTCTCTGAGTTCCTGGTCTTGTCACTCATCAGATTAAACTGACTGTGTTTGAGCCTTGAGAACAAAGGTCTGAAGTGACTCTAAGGCTGCAGAGGCCCTTTTGATTACCAGCTCAGTGTAAAAGTATGCAGATCACTTGTTTTTATCCAAGATAGCCCTTGGAAAAAGCTTGACATGTTTTTTGATTGTCCTGCATTGGACCTTTCTTAGGAGAAACAGCGGCAGCAGCAGGAGCAGCAGCTGCAGCGGCACCTGACTCGGCCTCCTCCCCAGTACCAGGATCAACCACAGAATCCATACCAGCAACAGGTTGGACAGTTCACAGGTGAGTAAACACAGCAATTGAAATAATGGCAGAAAAAATATCAGGAGTAAAAAACAAGCTGTCTTCAAATTACCTGGATTGGATAGCTTTTAATTAATTTATTACAGTGCCTTCCCACGTCACTGTGCCTTAAAACCTTTTGGCCTGTACTGTGATTCAGTTGCAAATCAACAGCTTCCCCTGCCCCAGGTATCTGGGACATCTTAAGCTTCTGCTTCTTAAATGTTGTTTTGGAAATGAGTAAAATTCTTAAGTACCTTCATTGTTCCGAAGGCCTTTTTATACTACCGGTTCCTTTTACTGGTTGTAAATTCTTCTTAACTTTGATATATTAGGATTCAGGTTTGGTTTTTTTTGAAGCCTGACATCGCTACTGCCTGTTCCTATCATAGGCCCTCATTAAAGAAAAATAAGTGGTGTATTATTTCTCTCATCTACTAGGATGAGTTTAAAATTCTCTGACATTCTTCTCCCTGCTGCCTTTAGAAGGGAATGCAGTTTGAATTCTCTTCATTACTTTTTAGTGTCCTGCGTGGGGTTTTTTTGCTCGGGAAGCAGCTTGGTATCCTCAGTATATTAATTGTTAAATAAAAAATGTTGTTAACTGTTAAGCTGGAGTAACTTCAAAAATGTGGAAGAACTAGAGAACAGTAAAAGCTCATCTCCTTACCTGAGAAATCCTTACTTTTCAGGGCATCAAGAAGCCACTTGTCTTTTTTCGTAAACTTAGAGTACAAAGAAGTGCTAATTCCCTTCATTTTGTTTCCTTACTCTCTGTGTTCCTGCAGAAATAAATACTGAAGGGAAAAGATGCAAATGGAAATGTGATACCTTCATCCTGACAGTGTTTGTTACTGTGCAGTGTCTGGTAGAGCTACGACTGCGTTTTGTTACTCAAGTGAAAAAACTTGATGCCAGTACAAAAGGACTGTGTGCTAACTCAGGGATCAGTAGCATCCTTCAAATATTGCACTGAAACATTTTTTTTCTCCTGTCACTTTTCTACAGAAACATAGTGTGCAACTGTTAGAAATAGAGTGGGGTTTGCTATAATGAAAATCAGTATTACTGAAATTATTTTTTCCTTATAATGATGACTGGTTTTTGCCTCTTAAATCCCAGTATGTGACTACTTTTCACTGTAAGTATTCTTACAGTGAGACTCTTCCTCCACTCATCCACCCCCCAACACTGGTGTTTTTATGATGTGCTGTGCTGATAATTAATCCAATATAATTTGAATTATATTTGAATTTTTGATAATTCAGTTTTTATTCAAATATAATGCTTATAATAATGGAAACCCAATACTCCTCAGCTGTCTTAAAATATGCAAAAATTCTGCAGCTTACTTTTTGGTTTGAAAGTAGAGAAAGCACTAATGTAGGTAGATTTCCCTTGGTCAACTGTAAGGAGTGGGAGGGGTGTTATATGCATTACACTTCACACTGCTGGTCTGCTTTTTTTGCTTCAAGTAGGGGGGGCTGTTTCTTCCACAGGAAGAAACTTCTAAACTCAGGATTTACAAGAACAGGGGACTTTTTTTGTTTTGCTGAGAATACATTTTTGCAAATCACCTTGCTTGGTTATCAGCACTGTGTATTAACATAGCAAATATTTCGCTGTGGAAATCCAAAAGATACCTGACCAAAAATTTCTGAAAGCTGAATTATGTAAATAGAAGAAATTCCTGGAAGAGGGAAAATGGAGGACTGGCAACCCTACAGGTGTACAATAAGAGATACACAGTGTATGCATGGAATGACTGACTGTGTGTGCAGTAAGTGGTATTTTTAACAGCTTAGCAAATTGTGCATGCACTTCAAAGTATGTGTGTTTACCTTTGTTCGCAAAGAAATATCAGTCCTGCCTTTAAAGTCTTAAATTTTTTTTAAATCGATGATGCTGAGCTCTTAGAAGTGGTATTCAGATTTTTTTAGGACATTGGCATATCTGTGTTTGAGATCAAGGTGGAGGTGCTAACTGGAGCAACAGTTGACACTCTTTAATTAAACTCCTGCTGCCTGTGTGCTGGTTGCAGAGGTTGGTTTATACAAATGCAGCTGCACCTCCATTCTGGGTTATTGTGCCTACAAGCCTGGCTTGGCTCTGGTTGGACCAAGGTATTTAATGTACAAAATACTTCTTTGTATTTCAGGGTCATCTTCAGCCATGCCTGGGGTCAGTAATTTAGGACAGTCCAGCTCCAGTAGCCCACGGATGTTTCCTCAGACCCAGAACATGATTCAGATGGGACCTGGACACACTCCTGTTCCTCCACTCCAGTCGGGCTCCAGTCAGCAGGACCGGGGGGTGACTCAGTATCCCAATATGCAAAACATTCAGCGCGGGGGATTGTACAACCTGGCGTCTGGAATGACACAGATGGTTCCCCAGCACACAGCTCCAAGTGCCAATGGACAGACTCCGATGCAGAGGCAGGGCAGCTTGGGCCAGGGCACTGCTGTTCCTGCTGGCTATGGGCAGAACACCTTAGCAAACTCAAGTATTTCTCAGCAGCACAATAAAGGTGCACTGAATCCAACCTTATCTAAGCCACAGATGGCAAGAGTACCAGCTGCTATGGGGGCTCAAAATCCATCTTGGCAACACCAAGGTATCCCTAATATTAACAACCAGACACAAGCAAACAGTGGCTTAGGACCATTTACTGCCAACTCCTCTTTCCACATGCAGCAGACTCATCTAAAGATGTCCAACCAACAGTTTGCCCAGGGAATGCCTCAGGTAAGCCTAAGCACCAGCAGACCCATGACCTCGATGAACGCTGCCGTCTCTGGGCAGATGTTGTCATCATCTTTAGGTGCACAGCCCCGGACAAACCCACCTACACAGCAGCAGGTACCCTCACAGCAAGTGCTGCCTGGCATGAACCAGACTGTTCCAGACCTGAATGCTTTCAACCAGAATCCAAATCAGCAAATGCCCAACAGAGGAAACCTGCACTGTAGCCAAGGGTACCCTGTGAGGACAACCAGTCAGGAGCTGCCTTTCTCCTACAGCGGCCAGTCGGGCAATAACGGACTTCAGAACTTAACTGGTGACACAGACCTGATAGACTCTTTGCTGAAAAACAGGACTTCAGAGGAGTGGATGAACGATTTGGATGAGTTGTTAGGAACTCATTAAAATGGGGCCGGGGGTGGGGGTTCTACTTTTTTTAATTATTTCATGACATATAAACAACACTTGGACCAAAAAAAAAAACCCTGTGGCATTGAGGAGACTTGCAGGCATTAGAGGTAAAATGGTTGGGAAAAAGACTGGAGCTGCTTCTCAATGAGTGTTGACACACGGTCACGGTGCACCAAGCGGGTCTGCGGGAGGAGTGCACGTTATCTGGGGTCTCTGAGGAGTCGCACACTTGAACAGGTCAAAAAAATACTGTGTCCTAGCCAGCCTTCCAGAAATCTCACTTGCAGTGTTCTAAGACTAAATTTTTTAATTATTTAAAAAATAAAACAAAAATTCCACAGAAATAGTGCAGAAAGAAAGCAAATAGTTGCACAAATTGTGTTTAGGGCTTAGTCTGCAGCTATTACTTGCAATAATTATTTGTTTGTAGCTTGACATGTTGTTATAGTACTGTCCATCCAACTTCTGACTTTTTTATTTGAGAAGAGGCTGTTATGCACCTGAGCACGCTTGCAAAATGTTTGGACTTGTTTCTTTTCCCCATTGCTGAAGCATGTGCCTGTACTCTCAGTAAGCAAGTGGTATTTCACAGTAAATATATCTAGATGCTGGTAATAGATGAGAGGAAGTATTAAAACCTGGCCAGTTAGTCTAGACAGTCATCTTCCTTCATAGATTGTAGTCTTTTAAGCTGCAGTTTGCACTCTGTTGTAGAGAGGCACAGTTCTTGGCTTGTACCTTGCTGTGTTTAAAGGGGGAATTTCTCATGGGAGAACTTTTAAACTATAGTAGGTTTAACGTGAATTGTAAAGCCATTTACTTTGCACCTGTTTCTTCATAACTTATTTCCAAAGGTAGTTGTATTTAAATGAAGGCTTTGCTTCATGACAGCTCATCTAGTTTTCTTTGTTGTAAAAGGTAAAACTAATTTTTGAGATCACTTCATTCCCCGAAGTTAGCAATGAGTTAGTAATGAGCACAAGACTTTGTCACTTCAGGATAAAAATGAGGAAAAAAGAATTTGGCTGGGAGGTGGAAAGTCCTTATGAGCAATAATAGCACAGACAGCCTGGGAGAGTAGTTGTATCAGGGTTGCTCCAATATGGAAGTCTCCCCCTTTAAATACTTTGGTTTTTTAATACTGGGTTACGAGTTTGATAATCTTTCTATAGTCTGGTGGATTTACTTCTTTAATATCCCTTGAAGCAGATGCTGGTTCTTCAGCTCAGCCCAAGGGGATCTCTTATCCATGTGTTGGGATTGGTCCCAGAAAGGACAAAACACAATGGGAACAGTCAGTGTTCCAAAGTCCTTACTCTCTACCAAAAAAATCCCTTATCCACCAACAAACCACCTTGCCTTAACCTTTATTTTAAAAAGAAAATAAAGTTGAAAGCTTTTGTTTGAAATGCACAAATACCTCTTCCCTTTCTAAATCTACTTTCTTGGAAAGCTCCTTTAAACTTTCTAACCAAACCCAGCGTTGTGATTTTAAAGCAATTTCCTTCAACATAGACTGGCTTCTTCAGGAGTTTTCTGCACTGCAGAATTGTGTGAGAGAGGGTTTTTCCAGAGGGTGTGAAGGGAAGTGAAAGATATCATTGGTTTCAAAGAAGGAAAATATTTTACTGTATCTGCAGCTCCTTTATGAGACAATTTGCACTTTTAAAAACTGCTTTTTTAACACTAATACTTTAACCCTTTCCAAATATGCATGGAACATGGTTTGTGCAGCACACTTACCTAGAGTGGATGAATTCTGCTCTGTTGATCAGATTTGCTGTTGTATCATGTTGAACTGTTGGTGAAAGATGTGCATTGATCAGTGGATCCCACCGTTCAATAGTGGATAAAACTTCCCTGAAGCAGGCTTAATCCCTCCTAGAGCTTTTGAAAAGGTAACATAAAGATTCTCTTTGGATGGGAAGACAGAGGTGTTGGTGACTTTGCTTGTTGACACTTCTGATATTTTCTAGAATAAGTAGTTGAGATGCAAATAACTGATGCTAACTCTTCTTATACTGGCAATCTAAGAAAAGAACTAGTGATCTTGGTTTACTTTTAAGTTGAACCAAAACCTGGTCCAAGGTAAGTGTCATTAGAAGATTATAGATATAAACTAGCAATGGCAGGGGAAGGAGTGTTTGCTGTATTTTTATTTTTAAGGGTTAACTTTGCACCAGTGTGCCTTCCCTTCCTGTCGGGGGTGCTTGGGACCTCAATTTCAAGTGACATCCTTCAGTGTCACTAGTTTTCTCTCCCCCTTACAAACACTTGACAGAAATAACAGGGTAGTAGGATTCAGCTTTTCTTTCTTCCCTGTTTAGGTTGTGGTGAAATCTGCTCTGTTTTGTGGTAGATTTTGCACACAGGCTTTGTTCAGAATAAGTCAAAATACAATCCATCCAGTTGTGATTTCTTAATTGGAGGAAAAGAACATCTGCTGTTTGCATTGTTACTACCAAAAAGGCAATCCAGCTAAATGTCCAGGAAAATGCAGATGTGCTCTTTCCTTCACTGTTTCTGGAAGCTAAGGTGGATATTGCCCTGCTTGACCAGAGGGTTTGTTCAGGAAGGTATCTGGATTTGATGACAGGGCCTTTTCATGGTACTGTTGGAGTAAAATTAAAAGTGTGATTCAAGGAAAACTGGCTTATAATGCCCATTGGTCTCCATGTGTGAACAGGATCCAAACAGCCCTGGCTTCTGGCCTTGGTCCCTGTCCACATAGCGCAGTCGGACCGTTGGGAATACGGTGTCACTGTAACAAGGTTGGAACAGTTCAATGGAAATGAAAATACGGTTTTGATGTGCACAGGTGCATGGGAAGGGCTGGGCTCTGCCCTCATGCCCTGTAACAAGTCTGTAAATGCACTTGGGCTTTCCATTTGCTGCAGCTTCAGAGCAATAAAATGTGTCTCCCCTGAACTGAACCCAGCCGGCCGCCCATGGCTTTATTTATAAACTGCGGTTTTGGTTGGGCAGGCAAGGTGAGAGTGTCACTGTGCAACATCCACTGCCTTCCAAAAACCACCATACGATTGAAAAGGGTGCTCAAAATTTTGTTATACACATTTCCTTTGTGTAAATAAATGTTTACAATTTTATATTAAAGATTTGAATAAGAGTTAGATCTTCTGACTGTATATTTTTTACTTTTTATAGATTTTAAAACTATAATTCTTTATATATGTGTTTTGGGGGGTATTATGGTAAGTTTTATGCTTGTAAATGGAGAACAGTTGAATTTGATGCTAACCTTTATGAATTTTTTGTCATTGAAATGTATAAAGAGTCCATTAATCCCCTTATTCTTTTACTACAATTACTGGTGCACACCAAAAAGAAATCCTTCACTTCTGTTTTATCATTATAAAATAAATATTTTGCTAGTGTATTAAACATACATGGTGTGACTTTATACATTTGTGTGAGCTGAGCAGAGTTCAGCATTTTCATTCCTAGTGAGATGGTTCCTTCCCTTCATCCCAACACACAGTTTTGCTCAGCTCAAATTCTGCTGCTGTGTCTTACCAATTCTTACAGTTTCACAAAGTCCATTTAAACAGACCAGAACTGGATAAAGGGGCCTTAGAAAACTTTAGTTTGAAAATAAGGCTTTATGCTGCACCCACTGCTTCCGGGCTTTTTTTTTTTTCTGGAATGCAATTGTAGACCTTAAGCTGGGAAATTCGGCTGCAGAGGTGGTTGTTACTGGTGAAAAAGATGTTAATAACTACCGAGACCTCACATGTGCAAAATGGTAGAGTTCCAAAAATATGCCAATTCCCTCAAAATAACAGGCCTTCGAGGTTCAAACTGGTTTCCTCAAGCCTTGTTTGGTCTAGGCAGATGGCACACACAGAAATCCAGCTGAGACAGGGACTCACATTCTGCAGGCATGAGTTGATGTTTCTGAACAAGGAATGAAATACTGGCAGAAATGTGTGTGAAGATTTTGGCTTGAAGCTGGAAAAGTCCCTGAGCCACTGCACGGCTTCAGAATTGAAGGATCATTCCCCAGGTGTTGAAGTTGGTGTCTCACTGTGCAGGTGTTGTGTTTGCAGCCCCAGCTCGGAGCCTTCAGGTTTCCTCACAGCACCCTGACTTACCAGAGTGTATTTTTTAATATATTCCTGCTCCACAAAGTTTTGTGTTATGTTTGGAGGGAGGAGGAGACCTATAACTTCATAAGCTTATAAAGAACCAAATGTTGTAAGTAACAGTAACAAAGTAACAAAGTAACAGTACCAGGATCAGCTGATTTTAATCTGTGGGGAACTGTGAAGTTACTGCTTAATTAACTTTATTGTCCCATTAAAAATGCTGCATTTCAGTTATTGTTGAGTAAACCAGGAATGTCCCAAGCAATCCCCACTGAAGTGACGTGTGTGTTTTTCCAAAGATTTTAAGGAGTCAGTGGCAGCTCGTGACCAACTCAGAAACTGATGTGATGTTTTTTCCTCGATGCTGGTGTTTTTCCTGAGACTAATGTAATAATTCTGTAATGGAAGTGTTTTCTCAAGCCCGAATTGCTTGTTGAACTGGCATAAGCAGAAACAGAACTCCTGGTGACATTTCCTCTCTGAACTTATCCTGGACACCCCAGGTGAAATCTTGGGTCACCAATAGGTTCAGTTAAGGTTAATTGTTCTATTTCAGTCTGAGTCTGGTAGTCTGAAGTCACATCATATGAGTGTTTTATAGAGAAAGGGAGTGGTTTTGCTTTTTTACATGTGTGGTTATTCACAAAAAGTGTAACACTGGGTATTTGAATTCATTAACAAGTTTTCAACTTGATGAGCTGTCACAATGGAGTTTTGAGGCGATGAAGAGCCAAACCAGAACAAAAAACTTGCTTTGTCCCACCCAAGAGAAACGATAGGTCTGGTATGTGCATAAATTCTGCACCGAGGGTTTGCGTATGTGACTGAACAGAGAAAAATGCAGTGGCTCAGCCATGTCCTGTGCCCTCTCTTCAAAATGAACAGAAA